ACATCTATTTCAAGTCATCAGTCCACTAACGTATCCCTCATGTGTGTATGTCTCGTTCAGTTGGTCGTCTCTCTAACATGAACCTCGTGTCCGTTCATCATGAGCTACATCACACCAGCCAGCACGCAACATATAAATAAGGAATCTGTTTGTTTAATACATACTCAAAGTTACTGAAGTAGGTTACGTAAACAACATTTAAGTTTTCTAAGAAAAAAATATTTTCAGTTATTATTGGTTTTTCTTTTGTAAATAGTTTTTATTGGTTGCTTCTTTTAAATACTCAATATCCATTCCTATATGAATTTTATTATTATAAAATTCCTTTATTAATATTAATATCATTAAAACTTCGTACCTATTATTATCATTCTGAATAACTTTTCTAGATTAAAATTCTCATCGTACAGTCATTATACAGATCTATGTAATTATAATCATTTACTTTCACAGAGCGCAACTAAGAAAATCTTAATGTGAAATCTTCTATACATTGGAGTATTCTGAGAGTAGTCTAAGTTAATGTTATTAATTAACATGAAGTGTTTCTTGTATTTTTAAATTAATTAGTGAGAGGTTTTAGTAAAAATCTTTGTTTCCTATTATCTATTGAGGTTTTTGGAGAATAATTAATAATAAGTATCAATAAAAGTCTCATAACACAATAGTTTTTACATATCTTAATGTAACAATTTAAAAGGTTATTGTTAGCCATTGGAATTTTTCGTTTTATTATATTACTTGAAATAATAACACAAACACCAAGAGAGTAATATACACAGCTTCGTCTTGGGTACTTATATGTCTTGGTAGCACGTGTATGTTCAGGAAATTGTTCTAAGATAATGTTTAGTAATTGACAAAATTCTAGGATAATTTATTCAGCAGTAACCGTAACAAAAGTTCCTCCCGACATTTCTCAAGTTTCAATAGTGTAGTACTCATTATTATAAGTCATGTTAGTCCCTAATCAAGAATCAGTCAACATGTCAAGATCCTTCTTATTACTTCGACAATAACAAAAAATAGCATTTGACATATTTATGATGTCGTTAACTTTTACTAAGCAGATATGTATTTACTCGTTCTGTTTCAAGAATGTCATTTATTTCGTATGAATATTAGAAGAAAATATTTACCATATACCTACTTATATACTTTCTCTTTAATAATGTCATATATAAAATAACACGCGTTCAATTTTAAAATACTTTGAAAATTTAAATAAAGACCAATTCATTGAAGTCTTCTGTTATTGCTTAAAAAAGTATCTAAAACTAATTTTTCTAATAAAAGTGTAATCTTCTAGTCCGTGCCTTTATTCTTCTGAATCTTCTTATACTGTGATCATCTTGTAGGATATAGCATACGGTAGTATTTCATGTAAGTTCAATAATTGAAGTTTATTTTGTAAAACGTCACTGTTTAATATATTGTTTAAAATATTTAGTGTTTAATATAATATGGGTCTGTCCTACTGATCCTGAATTATATTAAATTAAAGATTTATGTTAGTTTTCTGATACATACATTATTGAGAAATGGGTTTTTAACATCTATATGTAAAATACATATATTATTCAGGATTTTCAAATTAAAATTGTCAAATTGTTTCTTTAAAATACAAAGTCTTGTTTCATTTAACATATCTTTACAAATTATCGTTTAACTATACTATTAACATTTTTATCTTACCTGAAAATACAAAGAAACTACATTTAAATTTCACTAATATCTCTTTACACGTTTTATAATAATATAACGCACAGTGTAATATGAATATCAACCGTTATCGAAGCATGCTCCATTCAGCTCCGGGGCGGTCGTTGTTAGCTTTTATTATTTAGGAGACAAGTTAACACTATGAATGTTTCCTTAGTGATATGGAAGTATTGTAATAAAATAATTTACAATTACTCTGAATCAATTGAGACATCATTTATTGTTTTTTATCTGTTATTTTTATGTGAATTCAAAATCATTGTTATATGTCTATAATGTTTGTTATCCAACAATGATCGAGTGTATTTAATATATAACGATATTTTGTAATATATATAAACGTGGACGAAGAACAGATTCCTTGTAAATATTCAGCATCGCGTTTCATGAATCGCGGACCAATTTTAATGTGATTTACATAATGACTTAAAAATGTAGAGAAAATACAGCAGAGAAATCCTTTGATGGAAAAATTATACGGAATAAAAAAAAGTAATTTCATATTTTACACTGTATATTTTTTATTTTAAATAAACTGGATAAGGAAACTGTTTGACTAAAAGTAAAATCATTCCTTGCATTATTATTAATTTCTACATAAAGTTTTTTTTTCTGTCTTGAGTTTTTTTCTAAGTGTAACGACTCAATAAACAGTGTTACAGTCTGTGATTGTTAGTCGTTGCATTAATAAGTCATGACGTACAAGTTGGCGACACATTCACAAACATATGGGATTTGCTCGCCGGGGCTTTTGGAATAAATTAAATTTAAGAAACTAAATAGACTATGTACATACATCAAGACAACCTCTTGTGTTTATTTTAGAATCACTGTAACATTATTTATTTCTGTATTTGAACACTTTCCTCTATACTTATAGTACAACTCCTTTATCCTCTAATCTCCTCCAACATAACATTTTTCCTCTACTCACCCACGTCCCTCCTGACCTCAAAGATTATTATCTTAGAACGTAATTTTTGTAAGTACTTTATATATATATTATAACGAAAGTTTACTTAAGTAATATAAAACCGGGTTGATTTTGTTTTAGTCTGTTGTGTTTTTTTAACTCTTAACTGAAAACTCATTAAATGAAATGTTTCTTTATAATATTATTCATTTCATTCAATATTAATTTACACATCAGGATTATATATTTTTTCAAAATATCAAATTGGCGATTCCAAATCAATTACGAAACTAGCTTCAAAACTGTTGTATTTGTTTTAGGATAAAAAATATTTCTGTAGTAAAATATCACGAATATCTGACTTGAATGTATATATCGGCAAAGTGCTAACAGTTCAAAACATACACCTTTATATCCCATCCATTTAATATTTTATAAAAGCCTATCCATTTTCTTATGATAATTCTATTCAAAAAGTTTTATTGCAGTATTGATGAAATGCTTATTCACAAGTATTGATTGGTTGTATTTAATATTTGCAAAAGGCCTTACATACTTTAACACTCAACGTTTAAATTTTAAAAATGATATGGACATCCGTTCTTTAGAAATCTATAATTATTAACTATTAAACAACAAAAGTAGAACTCTAAAATTATTGAGAGTTTGACAAACCAAGCGCGATATGATGCATTGTGCACATAGTCTATTGTTTACATTTTCAAGTCCAAATAAAATTATTTTAATTTAAAACTATCTAAAAACTCAATGTTTAATCAATCAAAATAAAACTTAATAAAACTCAATATTATCTAATATTGATACTACAGACGGGATTTTCTTTACTGTTATAACTATAATATACTATAACTTATAAGGGTAACGAGATAGTCTTAGTCTTAGCCTTAATCTATTCAAATTACCGCGACTCATATTCACTTCGAGGTTGTCTCCCTTTAGGACTTAAAGTCGTTAGAGTTTAACAAACTATCACACTAGCTTTAGTTTGAAGAATTCAAGTTAACAAAAAATATTGTAATGTTAGTATATAAAAAAATTAAACATTATGTATAATTTTCTTAAAAAAGTAATTCATATTATTACAAAAACTTACTTCAACTTTAAATAATAATCTAGAATATTAATATTACTAGTTTTTGCCCGCGACTTCGTCCGCGTTAGTTTGGTCAAGAGTAATATATGTAGGTATAGCTGACCAGGCGAACTTTATTCCGTCTAAGAGGCCATAAATAATCAGGTTTTTCCTTTTTCAATCAAACAGAAATGACATATTAGTTAGTTGTCAAATCTAATGTCAAAAAAAATGTTTGTATGGTAAATAGAAAAGGGCTGTTTTTAGGGTTTTCCCGGCAATTATTCCATTTTTTCTCACCTTTTAAACCTTCCCTGGACTACCAGGAGTATTTCAAGACTAAAATTAGCCAAATCCGTTCAGCCATTCTCGAGTTTTAGCGAGACTAAGGAACAGCAATCCATTTTTATATATATAGAAGATTATAGAAGTGAAAGTTGTGGTATAAATAATATTATTTCATAAAATAAATTATATATATATATATATATATATATATATATATATATATATATATATATATATATATATATATATATATATATATATATATACCTGTATCAGTAATATTAAGTATAATAATATATTAGTTCTACTGAAATTGATGAATCAGTATTGTTGGTGATAAAATGATATTTAGTATACATAATACATATTATGTACTGTTATGTATAAAATGCTACATTCCATAACATTCCTTAAGCTAGTATGGAAAATAATGTGTTAAGTATTAAACTCTTTTTAGTTTATTTACTTTATATACATACAACAAATGTATTATATGAATTATAATAAAATATATATAATTATCAATTCCCTTTTAATTAGTCTTTATATACGTTTCACAAAATCATTCCATTGATTATTCAAATCAAAGTCTTATTTTATAAACTTGAACAAATAAAAAATATCATTAAAATGAAAATCAAATACAATAATATTAAGAACCTCGAGGGCATTATTAATAAAGAAAGATTCAACGTTTCAAGTTAAAGAATATTTACATACAGAGGAACGTCCTGTTCTTACAAATATTTGTAGAAAACAAATTTTGCTCTCAAAAATTTCGTTATTTGTAACAAAGATGGTAATCCCTAAAAGGTTTTTTTATTTTTTGTATTTAATTTAATTTTATAATAATTTTTTTTTTTGCACGAAACTTTGTTATTTCACAAAATTCGGACTAATTTTTTCAAATATGAAATTGTTATATTTGTTCTTTAGTTATTTAAATAGAAAAAACAATCAAACAAGGCTATTTATATAACAACCATGGATTATTATGATAGTATTGTACAGACCGGGGAGGAGGTGTGTAGTGGAGGGAAGGGTCACATGGTACGACCGGGTTCATGAATAATGAAAATATTGAAGGACGTGAAGGTATCTCTCAAAAAGAATTTTAAACTCCATTTTGTAATATAAAACGATCCTCAATCAATATTGAGGATCGTTTTCAAAGGCAATGCCTTATTTTCCTCTTTTTATTCTCAATTTCCTAAAAAAAAAAAAATTTTTATTAAAGTTTATATTTACAATACAGAAACTGTGTATGTTGTGAGAATGAACACTATGAAATAATTAAAGATACCTATTATAGTAAAAGAAGATCTAATGGTTTTTTTTTACTTTAGTCTTCCTTTCGTTGTAAATATTGACATTGTGAATCTTATATCAAATTGTTATTAATTTTCACACACAACTCATTACCCTCTGATAATACGAGTGCAGTTGGGATTGATAGTTTTCGAAAAACTTGTACTAGTCGAATTCATCATTTAGTTTTTGTTCTTTTGATTCCAACTTTGTGACAAAATTATTTACCATTATAAATTTACTAAGGATATATTCGACCAAAATTTTTCGAACTACAAATTTTGAGACGTACTTCTTTACACGTGCTTATAGTCTAGAATGCCATAATCCCGGCAGGCTAGAGTTATTTCTCTTATTTATTTTGAATATATATATATATATATATATATATATACAGGGTGACTGGTGAATTACTATCAATATTTAAGGAGCATACTAGGTACATGATTCTCATTCGAATTATGTAAAAAAAATAGGTACTTAATTTTTGACAAAATTTCCGTATAAATAAATAAAGTGTGTACACGTTCCAAGTGTTCCAAGTGTGAACGCGTGCTGCGGCGTGCTGATACAACAACACGCCTCCGCGCGTATGTGTGAGTGTGTGTGTATACCTAATCTGTAGGGTGCTCATACAATGCGTAATTAATTACATAACTTTTGGTTAACTTTACTTAAAAGTTTATTAATATTTATGTTATATTAATTTTTATTTTGTCATATATCGTCAAATATCACGTCCTTAAATATCGATAGTAATTCACCAGTCACCCTGTATATATATATATATATATATATATATATATATATATATATATATATATATATATATATAACAAAAAGTCAAGCAAATAATCAGTTTAAAAAAAAACATGAAGTCTGTCTACGTTGAAGTTAATAAAATAAAAACACAATTTTACGTTTTCTTGTCCCCTTCGGTCATATTGTAGACAAACCTGACAGCGTAATAACCTCATTGGTATTCTATATTGTTACGTACGGGCAACGTATTAAAAATAAATTAACATCGCCGGGCAACATCGTTGCATAAATAAGATATTATAAGTGACGCTGACTGCTGACTCCGCGGAACGAACCCCAAGCCGTGTGAACCAGAAGATGCCTCATACCATACAAGCAATGGGATATTATTGCTATCCTAACATCGGGGGAATCATGTAGTCTTAGATGTAGGTTTTAAGTTTAAATATGTAATTCTTATTACGATATACATATAAGAAAGTTTCGTAGCGTTTCTGGAACCTCCGCTTGCCACCCTATATAATTATATTGTAAATATTTAATACATGAAAATATTCCTACATATATACCATTTCCACTTATAACAAATACTTCAGTTTACAAGACCATATTATCTATCATTAAAAACATCTGTACAAGGCATGTTTGAATTTTTTTTTCTCAAATATTATAATTTTCAACACTCAAAAGTCCTACCGTCAGAACATAGAAGTATACAATTGTCATTTAGAAGAAAGTAACACAAAATAACAGTTACTGGAGTCTTCATCATAATTTATCAAAATTATAAATCACATCTTTTGATATTAGTTTCTTAAAAAGTTACAATTTTAATGACGGCACAAAAGAAAAAAGCTAACAAGCGTTATCAAACAATAAATTCTATATACTCGTACTATTGTATTTACTGTCGAATATTTGTATTAGTAGTAAGTATAGTTATTAATTAAAAAGTTACATAAGAATCAGTGGTATCGGTATGCAGTGTTATGTAACAGATCTACTCCGAGACTGTCTGTGGTCACTGTGGTCTGCAGAGATAAGGACAAGTTGACTACAACATTACAATCATTATACCACAAAGTTTATGTAGTGGAGCAATGGAAATTAAACTTCCTCTTACAAAACCTTAATCCTTGGCAATGGTTTTAATAAACCCAAACTTACAACTCACTTAACTTTCTTTTTTATGTTACATTCACCGTCGACCTTAAATGTCAAATAACTTAGAGGTACTCTCCTTTTTTTAATATCCAAAGACTTAAGGCATGTTACAGTTATAAAGGTGTGAAAGAATAAAAATATTTAAATAATTACTGAATGTTAAGTGTAGAAGTCTTCAACATGAGTTACATCAAGTACACGTCAACTGTCCTATACATGTATGTACGTGTTCGTTCAGTGTGCGGAGTGATCTCCTTATCTTCAGTCAGTGTTGGAGGCGAGGCGCTTCACACGAGCGTGGTCTGTAGAGGAGATGGTCATTACTGTGTGTTGAGTGACGTCACACTCACACACCATCTACAGAGCTCGGTATCTGATGATACGAACTTGAATCACATGCTGGTGACGAATGTATGACACTACATTAAACTCTCCAACTCACTCTAACGCTCAATGTAATATTTTTAAAATATAAAATGATAAACTCTTGTAATAAATGTGTTTTACTTTTAACTAATATTTTATTTGTAAATTATAGCTAAATTTCTATTCAAAAATCATTTAAAAATTGTTCATAATTCGTTACCTTTTCATAAATGTTTAATTCAATGTCCACACAAAGGAGTGGCACAAAAAATCATTAGTCCGATATTCTAGGTCTCCCTGCATAATGAATTTACAATGACGTCACAAAGACAACGCTAAACTGTCGACCAGATAAGACTTGGAGGCAAATTAAATTACTTTGGATTTATAATTACATAGTTGAAAAATCCTATCCCATATACTGGCGTACAGATTATTGACATAAATTCATAGGAATATTGTTAGTTGCTAGAAACTTCTTCATATAAAAATGGTAACCAGAAATATAATCATCATTTAATTCAATTATTACTTGCAATTAAAACTATTTTAAGGCAGAAGTATTTTGTAACACTCAGAGGAATGTCTCGAAGTTCGCTTGTGGCTACAACGTAGCGTTATCTACTACAAATATCATAAACATAAGTATATTCCTAAGATAACTTATTTTAAAACTTTAATTTATAAATACGATAAAAGCTACGAAGCTTTAGAAACAAACCTCGACTGTAAAAATAAAATCCATACAGCTTTACTTAATGGTTTCAAATGAACATTGAACTGGGAATGTTTGTACTGGAAACGGCTATTTGAACTGCCACAGAGACTAAAAAAAAATCAGATTAACTTAGGATTCAGAACAGTATTATTCATTTTTGTATAATCCATCAATAATAACAACAACTCTTCAACGTTTCAGTGTTACACAAATAACATTATGACTATACATCAGTCTGTAATATATCCTATAAATATTTCAGGTTTAAACATTTTACATAAAGGTCTTGCTTAGGAAAAAAAAACGAGCAAAAGATAGTACATATGATTATCGTAAATCCCCTTCTGTATTTACATAGAAGACATGTTAAATGCCTTTTAAATGAAATATAAATATTTTGTTTGTTTATTCATATTACCGAATCTTTTCTTGATACTCAATACTGTTATAACATCACTGTTAGTCATCATTCCACTTGTAATAATAATTATAAGTCAGTCGATACAAGACAAATGACCGTCTGACCTCGTCCTCTCTGATTGATGTATTCATACTATACGAGTATGAACATCCATCAACATATATACATCATTGTTTGAATATATAATATATATGATTCATGGAAACATTATTACATATTTACAAACATATTAACTATACATAGCTAATTTAATCTATTTACGAGTATAACTTTTGTCACAAATGAAATCTTTAAATAGGCCTCTATTAATAGATACCAGATGCAAATATTTTAATTCAGAATATTTGTAAAATATTCTGAGAGTATTTTGATAAAAATAGGACAAAGTGTGAAAGTTAATATAATTTATAAATTAAAAATATTTCCTTATTTGTTTATCCAACAAGGTAGTCTTCATAACTTTTCCTTTAACTCATCGTTATCTGTTTTTATGTCAGATGAGCCAATCATCTTGTTTATCTTATTTAATAACCAATTTATACATTTAGAAGCGCCTTCATTTATTATCTTCCATATGAAAAATGTAGCGCTATATTTCTGTTCTTGTAAATTTATTAAAAATTTGCACAAAAACATTGAAAACACATTTTTGGAAATGTAGTTATATACCTCATTTAAAATCTTAAGACACTGTTTATGTTTCTGTGATTATCACTTTTGTAGTCTTTTAAATACTAAAACATTAAGTTTAACTCTCATATATAAATAATTTATCACCTTTAAGTCTTCATTCATTTTCTGTGCTTTTATTATTCCAGACAGTCATCATGTTTCTATTTAATCTACTAATTTGATACATTAGACAAAAATATTAGCTGTATAATATGTTTTTGTAATCTTTTTTATGAAACAAACAATCTCATATAATTGAAGGATGTTTCCGCTGATGACCTACTTATACTTGTAATATTTAAGAAGGAACATAGTATAATGTCTGTTGCTTCTCTTAAATCTATAGCTGCAGTATAGGAACATATATGTATATGATATCATTAGTAACGATATTAATAATATTATCTTTGACTGACTTTGTATAAGATGATGGCAAGTGTCACGTCTACATTATCTACAGACAATAAATAAAACAAGACGTGAACTACTTAATTACAAAATTTAATTGACTAAAACATTTAGACTATGTATAAATCTAGACAGCTAGGTTTAGGTCTAGGCTCAGGCGTTACTGGGATACCGAGGGAACGCTCCTTGTATCGGTTATCGGTTTCTCTAGTTCGGCTCCTAGTTTTCTATCGGTGACTTCGACTTGACGCGTGTCCTGCCGGCCGGCCGCTGGCAAGGTCGCACAAGGTCGGGGTCCGAAGCCAACACGATGAATTTAACTCCGGGGGTAGTTCCTGAAATGCCGGAAACCAACACGTGTTACTTCATTTATTACATTAATCTAAAGCGCAATAAGTCAATAGTAATAACTTAGCAGAAAAAGGCATCTAAGAGTTATAATAATTAACAAAAAAAACAACGCTATTATTTTAAGATATTAAAATTATGTGTTGGTCATGGTTGAGGCAAATTTAAATTTAATCAGAAACGGGTACATAAACCACTTGCTATTAATAAAAATATAAGAAGGTATTTAAATACATATAACGTAACAAAGAAATTATGACGATAAATTTTTTAACATACTAAACTGCACTAAAAATTATTTTTACATATTTATAAGGGAAGCTACAACAAATATTTATTCTAGCTCAAAGAGCTACCATTAAGACGGTATAAGCATCTTAAATCTAATTATTCTAATGCTTCGCCTTGTTGATTTTAATTATGTATTAAAATCAACAAGGCGAAGTATTTGTTAGGCCATAAGCACACTATGTACACTAGAACACATATAATTAAATTTTAAAATGCACAACTTACCCAGTACGGGAACAAATAACACTTACTAATGTAAATTCCCGAAAGGGAATAATAGAATTAAATTTTCTTAAAACCAGATTATAATATTATATTTAACTAAGACTGGAACACGGTCCTTAGCGACAAGATACACGTAAGAACGTAGGTATACAAATAGTAAAGCAGCGACAAGTGTGCGCTTGCGGCCGGACGCGTCTTTTTAAACTCGAGAATTGTAAAGGATATGTACATACATACGTCTATAACTTTACCTGCGATTTATTTAATACGATAGTCAGTGAGGACAGTTTCTTTGGATATATATTTTTTTATAAGTATATATTTTTTAATGTAGTGAATATAGTTTATTAAATTTACATATATTATAAAATAATACGTTACACAAGAGTTTGTTATTTGATTTTTTACTAATTGTGAATTATCTTAAACATATGTTAGTAATAAAATAAAATTTGACACAAATAACTTTACTTATCTATAAAAAACTTATGGCTTATAAATAGCCTCAAGCAAATAACTAAAGATGACTTACATTAATAATACAACAGTTAATAACAGATACGATCTTAAACAATGTTAGTGTTTGAAGTCACGTTCACGGAATGTATTCAGATGGAAAGACTTCAATAATATATCACTTAACAGTCGTTAGTTGAAGATCACTGAAGTAATAGTTCAGATTAATAACTTATCAACTCCAGTATCAAGATGGATTACAACACTAAAATAACCCTCCGAATATTTTGACTAAAAGAGGCGTAGTAGTTCATGAAATTGATGTAATACATTTTGATTTATAATTAAATCATATTAAATTTATAAACACCTCTCTCTATGCATCTTGTCACCTCTCTCATGCTGTTAATAAAAAGTTAACGACATGACTCGGTTTAGAATAAAATTTAAAAGAAAAAGTATTTGTAATAAGTCTAACGATATTTATGTGTCTAAAAGAAAAGTCAATAAGCTCACTACAAACTAATGTGTAACAGTTTTATTAAAGAGATGTCATTCATTCCAATAAAGAGAAAATGATGAGACAGACTGAGGTTTAGCCGTTTACTTTACTAGAGATTATTGTGGAACGCACTCTGCTTACTTTTAGTGTTATTTATGTGAATGAAGAATTGCATTGTTTTGTATTTATTTTAATTCCTCAATATATTCTTTAAATGAGTTTTATTTTTTTTGTAAATACGTTAAACATTATACAGATAATAAGTAGAGATTTCTCTAAACTTTAATTCAGAGTTGAATATAGTTGTTTATGAAAACTATTAACTCTGACGTTCATGTAATGTTACATAAACAAAATTAAAAAAATAATGAACAAAGTGTCCTCTAACCTTCTCTCAACTATTTTGTACAATACAAAGAATTTTAAATTAAACCAACATCGTTTATGTAATCGTTGTTTTCCACATACATTTATTAGTGGGCTAGCTAGGAGTTCGCCGCCGGACGAAAACTCATTACAATGTAAAGAACACCGCGACCAGAGATTCTTATGAACTTTGAATACAACAAAAATGATACAGTTATATAGAAAGATATGAAATATGATGATCTTCAAATGTTGTGTTTTATATGTTACTACTTATTGATAGACAAAGTTAAATAAGACGCTTCCAATATATGTTGAGCGATCTTGAACCGCTGTCCTCAGACCACTCACAGTAATCACTCGGTCAACATCACTCTCGATACAACATATTGAACAATCAGAACTCAATTTGTGGCAACATGTAACACTTTGTGTAGATATTTACCTGTCCTTGACCAGTTTTATAAAAGAATATAAAATCGAATTCAAATTTCCACAACAATCTTCGCCAACATGATAATACAATTGTAGTTTATTCAATACTTTGTAAAGTATTAAAAATCTTTCTCAAGTCATTTGTTCCTTCAATAGTCAACACAATGGTTAGGTGTCACATCATTCTACACGCTATATTGAACACACAC